TATATATGATAGAAAATGATTTAGCTTGTAGCAGTATGGGAAGTTGCAGAACAGTAAATGTGAACAATGATGCAAGTTACTGGCTGTAAAATCTGTACCCCCTATTGTCATTCTTGAATTCAGTCCCTGTAGTCTTGAAAAGAGTTGTGACATTTCAAGACAACATTTCTCTGCTTTGTAGCATGTGTGAAACAAACAAACAAAAAAGTGTAGATGGATGATTTTGTAAGAATTGTGTAACTGGGTGTACTGGATTTGTGAGCACTCCTGTGATCCAGGTTGTGTGGATGGTTCTCTAACAGAGTAGCAGAATGTTTTGATCCAGGTCTGAAGATAAGAGTTAGTGATAGCTCTTGTTTGCCCTGTGCTCAGCACTAAAAGCTGAAGCCTCAACATTGCAGATCTGGATTTCTTTCACATTAATACAGATGGGCCAAAATCTGGACAAGGTCTGGAGAGAAAAGTAGTCCTGAACAGAATGCAGGACTGTTTAGGTAAACCTCAAGCTTTGAGGAGGAATGACTAGAGCCATTTGAGTTAAAAGAGTAACAGCAGCTTCTCCGAAGGGAAAAGAAAAAAGTAAGTAGCAATACGTACCATGTGTCTTGTATTAAATGTTTTAGAAGGCTACAGAGTAGTAGTTGTCAGGCCTGACAAGGAGCTTAGAGAAGGAGAGGGTGACCTGAACTGGCCAGGCAGAGGAGCTGAGACAGGAGGAAATGAAGCAAAAAAGACTTGGGAAGTGGTTAGAGAAGACTGATAATTGGATAAGGAGTAGCAGGAGGAAGGGAAGAGGCAGATTGTGTGACCAGCAGAGATGAGTTAGGATTGCCTGGATAACACCAGGGTTTTTGAGACTAGCTGGATGGTGAGGTTGTGACTGTATGAAATGCTTGGGGAGCAGGCAAGAAGCTGAATTTGTGAAAGATGAAGAGCTGTGACAGATTAGAGGTAAGGAAGAAGAGTTAAGCAGTGGAGGAGTGGGCAAAAGCTTGTCTGTGTCTGTTCAGACCATGCTCTAGAATCTACGAAACCCCTGAAACATTGCCTCCCCCCTCCTTTTTTTTTTTTTTTTTTTCTTGTAGCAGATACCTGGCAAAGTGTTTTATATGCCTGTAATGATGGTCCTTATGGAGAAGGGGACTATATTTAGTTACCTTTATTAGCTCAAGCAATTAAGAGCCCTCTGGTTGAAATTTGACAGGGTCAATATCCTGCTACAGAACAGAGTTTTTTTTCTTATAAAAATATAAAAAGACACCTATATGCAGAGTAACATTAAAAGAACATTATTAGGACTGCAAAGATAATTACTCAGACTTACAAAAACCAGAATTTAGGTTTTCTGTACCTTTCTAATTCATGTCCTCTGTACCCGTGGATTATGATAACCTTCAAATACAGTGTCTCATACACTATTATTAGCTTAAAGAAAAGGCTTGCATTACTGACTGTTGGCCTTCCTATCTGCCTGGCCTACTCACCAACAACTTTTGAACTGGTGTACTAATTTCAGACATGTTAGAGGTCTTAAAAGGTGATTATTTTTCTGTGAAAACTGGAGTTTAGGCACAAGAAAGAAATCCAAAATTGAGGCAAAAATAGGCAGACTCAGCAGTGGTGTGGTCTCTTTGACAGCAATCTGCTGGCCCATCAGCGTACACATGGACTTGGCCTTCATTTGTGTGAAGCTGTGACTCCTGTGTACTGCCTTATCTTGCGCAATGAGTTATCCTGTGAGAGAAGGAAAGGGTTGGAATCATTATGTTGAGGAAGAGGAAAGGGTATGTAAGGTGACAAAAGAGCAAGCACACATTAAAAAAAAAAAAAAAAAAAAAAAAAAAAAAAAACAAAAAAAAAAACCCCAACAGCAACAAACCCTAAAGCCTCCCAGAATGTTCTTTAGAGAGCTAGTGGTTTTTTTTTTTTTTCCCAAGTCCTTTAAATTGTTTGCTATTTTGCCTCTTCTGTGGAGGAATTCAGTTCATACGGTAGGTACTGTACAGGTAAAAAGACGTGGAAGTTGAAAGGTGTCTTGCAGATACTGTGCCAGTAAAAGATTTAGGAGTTGAAGAAAAGATGTAGGCATTGAAGGGTACATTGCTCAAACAGGATTGTTTCATAGTTAACACAGTGAATACAGTGCTGGAGACCTGTAACTTGTCTGGAGCTATTTGGAATGTTACTGCAAAGCATTGTTTCATTTATAATTTTGTCGTAACTGAAATAAGGGTAATTGGATGTAAACAGGAATATCTCTTCTGGGGGCACAGTAGCATCCCAGCATGAGACCCCCTGAAATAAACAAGTCAGCATTTTTAGTATTAGTATGATTTCATTTTAAAAACAGTTTGGGGTTGGTTTTTTTGGTCACACATTGAAAGAACATATTCAAAACTCAAATACAGTTCAAAACAGAAATGTTTTTCAGCCATTTTGTATTCTAGATTTGTCCCTTTCATAGATTCTATGTGTGCACAAGCAAGTAGCTGAACCAGCTAATAACAAGTGATTATAAACATAGTGATGTTATTTACTGTTTTTAAACTTGAGAACCAACAGACTACCTTACAGTAACAGGGAGTAGCTGCTACAAATTTAGTGTGAGCTGTAACTTCAATACACAAAATTCAGTTATTGCATAGTGCTCTGAAATAATTGAATCCAAGCCGTATCAAACTTAAGTCCAAACATCAGTGGAAGTAATTGATCTTTGTGCTTTTTTCCATGTCTACAAAAGGGAAGCAAAATTTATTTTCTTACAACCTTGTTTTGAAAATCAGTGCTTTGGGATTTTTTTGGAGCATGCAGATAGTGTATTGATTTGTCATTAGGGAAATACTAAATGAGAACTGAGGAAATCTGATGTTTGAAACAAAGTTTGAGTAGTGGATGTAAAACAGATCGTGATCTGACACTGAAGAATGAAGGTAAGGCGAAATACTGACTGTGTTTGGTTTGTTTGTGTTGACTGATACAAGACACCTGTAGACAGAAGCAAGGGAGAATATGTCATAAAATAACTCCCCTGTCCACAAGCACAAAACCCTGAGGTAAAGCTGACATTTCTGACATACTCCCGGTTCCTGAGCCTGACAAGACCTTGTTTTTTTGAGGTTGAATATTTTAATTCTTTTGCTTTACGGGTTTATGTACTTGGATATTGCATGCAAACATGTGGCTTAAGTAATCTGTTGTGTTTTGGCTTCAGGCTAATCAGTTTACACGGTAAATGGTATAATGTGTTGACATGATGCTCTCTTCGGTATATCCAAATGCATCACGGTTGGCGTGAACAGATTTCAGACTGGAACAGTTTTATATGTGTCCAGTTTGAAGCAAGGACAGATGAGCATTGATCTTTGCAAAATCATGTTTATTTTAACAGATGTAATGAGACTTATATGTGTTGCTCAATGTATAGCAGCCAATAGGAAACTAGAAAAATTTCTGTGTAGTGGGTTTTAAATGTTATATATATACTCTTTAGTTTGATCTGACCTTTCACAAGTCAAATAGCATAGCAGTACTATTCTTTATGTAAGACTATGTGCTACTGTTTGAGCAAGCTATGCTACCCTAAAGTATGGTTTTCATAGCAGTATAATGAAGCTTTATGGTAAAGCTTGCTGAATTTTTAACTCTTAAGTATCTGCAGAAAACAAAAAATTTCTGTACTTCAATATGTTCATGTATTTATTTTGCAGATTACATTTATAGGTTTTGCTGAAGAGATGGGTACTGCTCATTTGCAGGTACAGTATCTATCTATATTGGAAAATAATGTTCTTCAGCACTGGCGACTTCTTCCAAGTAGTACATAATTTTTTAGATGGAGGAATTTTGGTGTTTGAGAAACGAAATGTGTGTACCTTGAGCATTTAAAAACCTAAGTTTTAAATATCATTGCAAGGTTGAAAAATAATTATTTTAATATGATAATCAGTGTTTTATATGTATTTAAAATATTACCTGGGCCAGTCCTTGTATTGGAAAGTGCTGGAGTAGCTTACTTAAATTGCCGGGGCAGGGGGGGTGTCTTTGTTTTGTGTGTGGGTTTTTTGGGGGTGGGTGGAGTGTTTTGGGTTTTGTTAAAAACCTGTGTGTATCAGTATTTTGGTTTGTAATCTTCTCCTTACTAGAGTTGTGCTTACTAATATGGTGCATTTGTCATCTGCAAAGCTAAAACTTTACTGAATTGACTGCTAGCTGTGAATTGCTGGGGGGACACCAGGAGTCAATATTATGGTTATGCCATAAGATATTATTCTGGAGAGTTAGATAAGGAAACATTATTTTAAAATGGGAAGTGTAGCAAACTAGTGGGGTTGTGCCATGCCATTTTAAGATGCTAAGGATTTAATCTTCCTGTGCAATTTACACATCAGTAACATACATGTTTACAGTGCAACTCCACACTCCTACTCTGTCTAGATCTTGGTAGACAGAGATTACTGTAATAGCTTTCTGATGTTTAAAAATAAAAACCAGAAACTCTCAATCCTTTTGTGTTCAAAGTTGTATCAGTGTTGCTAATTCATTAAATGATAATAGTGCTAGATGTTCTTTCAAGTATGGGTAAGAACTATTTGATGGTCTAGAGTTAGATGAATTTAGAGAAAATTGGGCTGAACAGGTTTATGGAGACTTGCTTTGTACCATATGGATCAGTAGTGTTTAGATTATTTAAAAAAAAGTCTGTCATAGCCCTTTTCTGTATTAGGTAAATCTAAAAGTTATCCAAGATCATGCTTAAAGTAGTGCACTGTCCCTGTTTTTGTAATAGTGGGCTGAACCACCATTCCAATAAGACACACTAAGAGCATGTAGAGATCTGTTGGGAAGCATTATTAGCCGAGTTCAGTCTTTTCTTTGTAGTTGCGTACCTTGTAGGATGTGCAGCTGCTTTTCAGTGCTTACAAGATTCTTCTTTGTGACTTTTAAGCCTCTTCTGGCCCCTGAGAAACAGTGGAATTTCTTCTTTTGGTAGAACAGTGAGCTGGAGATGAGTGTGGACTGAATTAAAGCTTGTTTACATGAGCTTAACACCACAGTATGAGAGAGTAAGTGGGGGATGGGGCAAGAAATAGGGGAGAAAAGAGAAGCTTTACCAAATTTATCAGCTGTTACTATTTAGGGGGGGATATGAGATCAAAACCATTATAATTTGCATGTTATTTTTTTTACTCTGTATTCTCAATGTGTTTGTATATTTAAATTAGGAGTTGGCAGCTGTTTCTGCAGAGCTCCCAGATGTTCTGAAATCGCTCCAGCTGTGCAAACTAAAAGAAAATGAGGTTATGTTTCTAAAAGATGTAAAGAAAACCTTGGCAAAACCTTATGTCATGAAACATCAGGTAAACATTTTTGTATCTTCTTGAACACTTTGTATCTTCTGGTGTGTCTTAATTACAGAGGCATTTTATTTGGTCTCATAAAAAGTTCAGTCATACCACACCTTGTCTTGTTTCCGTTTTTGGTCCATCTTAGCCACAGTAGTATTAATGTTGCTATATTTCTGTGGTTTCTTTAAAATGAGTGTTAGAAAATCTCAAAATAAACTTGGTGCTTTCAAGTGCTGTGTTATTAACAGAAAATACTTAACAAATATTTAATTATGGTGCTGATCCCATGTTTCTGCTAGACTATAGTCCCTTTCACTGCAAATTTGGAAAGAAGAAACAACTTGTCAGGGTATGTATCTCTGCTCTGCTCAGGTATAGCTTTCATACTTGACAGACTTTTCTTGAAACAGGTGCCAAAATTATGAGAATATCAGGTGTTCATAAACTCAGTGGGCTCTTTTCTTATTACAAAATTATTTACAATTATAAATGCTGTTAATTATATAATTTCTATTATTTTTATTTCCAGTATTATTTCCAGTATTATTATTATGTTTTTAATTATATTATTTCCAATTATAAATTTGTTAAAGCAAACTTCTTAAAGCCATATTGACTAATCATGGTTGTCAAATTTAATTATGTTGCATAGAAGGTAAAAAATACCTTGAAGAAATAAATATGCTATAAACTGAAATAAAATATGCTATAAACATATAAACTTATGCTATGTTCAGCATAAACATGCTTTGAAATACTGTCTAACTCTACAGATTTTTAACGTGAATTCTTTAATTAATAGATTCTTGAGTACATATTATCAGGGTTGTATTAAACAACCTTTTATTTGTTTTATTGCAATGATTTATTCAGAATGCAGAAATTACGAAAATGAGTAAGTGATTTTAACTGTCATTCTACACAAGCTGTTCCATTAATTTTCTTATCTTTAAAATATTTGTAAATTGTTTACTGTTCATAAAAATGCATTGAAGGAATCCCTTGTTACTCCTGGCAGTTGAAATCATTCCAAGGTTGTTACGTTTGTTTTCCTGTTGCTCTCTTTTTTTCAAGAATCAACTTCCTGAAGTGTTTTGTGTGATGAGACTGTCTCCTTCATTCCCAAGGATCAAAGTTGATTATATATTTACCTTGCTGAGCAAGTATACCACAGGCATAAGATATGCAGTGGAAATAAACTCATCGCAAAAACATCAAACAGAGACATCCCATGGAGAAGATGATGACACTAATCAGTCAGTTTCTTCAATTGAAGATGATTTTGTCACTGCTTTCGAACACTTAGATGAAGATGAGCCTTCAAAGATACAAAGTGCTGGTAAGTTCTTGCATGCTGTTGACTTGTAGGAATTGTTATTTGGAATTTAGGCTGATGGGATTTCACGAGAAAGTAAATATAAATAAATAGTAGGTTTTTTACATTTATCATGTTTCATAAAGGGGTATTATGCAATTGAAACTTCTTTCCTGTTTTTTTCACAACAGTTTATCAAATCATAAGCCAAAGATTCTGATCTCAGTGTCGGATGCAGATCAAGTAAAAACTTGTTCTGCCTTGCTAAAAAAATACATGAATTTGTCAGTGATTAGATTAGTATACTAGGATTTGAAAAAAATGAAAGATTGCTTTAATCATGAAAGATCAGCTAGCATTTTGCAACAATAAGAAGCCCAGCAATTGCCACTAAAATCTGTCACCAGTTTTCTGTAGTTCTGTGAAAATACTTGGTTTTGAAGCAATCTTTTTTTCTTTTTTCCCAGGTGCGTGCAGCTTGACTTCTCGAAACCATCGAGATGCTGCTTCACAGACCATCCCTGCTCAATGTTTAGAAGCTGTTGACTCAAAGATCCTTGTGGGTTCTGCACGTCGAAAGTCGTCTGCCAGATCTTCTACTTTGATTGATATTTTGGGACTTAAGGAACTGTCCTCAGTAAAAAATTCAGTTACAACCTCAATTTCTGATCCTTGGATACAAAGGAGTTTCTATAAGCCATATAATCCTTCTGATCAAGGTGTTAATTTTTTATGTAAAACATTGTTTTCCTCCTCTCCAGCTGAGTCCTCTGAGTCAGATTGCTCCAGCCCAAGCCCCATCATCTTCTTAGATGAAGAAGGGTATCAAAAAAGTTTGAAGGCAAAACTTCAGCTGCCAAAAATTCCAGTAGTGAAAGATGGTATAGAGGATTCGGACTCAGAAGTAAGTGAATTTTTTGATAGTTTTGATCAGTTTGATGAGCTGGAACAAGCCTTGGAAAACTCTTGTAAAGTTATTAGGGATCCCATCCTAGGGAATCCCTCCCAGAAAAGGAGGACTGCACATGAACAATTGTCTTTTGCAAGCATTACAATGAATCCTCAGAAATTCAAGTTTGATCGTCCCACTCTCCCAGCCAATGTAAAGAAACCAACTCCTCGTAAACCAGAATCACCATATAGCAGTGTCTTTGATGTCCCGGATTCCCCTCGCCCAGTTAAAACATCGGGGGAAGAGAATGGAGGCTTGTTCAGCCCTATTAGATCATCGGCTTTCAGCCCACTAGGGAGCTGTGGTTCTTCTGAATGTTTATGTCGAATTAATCTTGGTGGAGATGGGACAGGTCAAAATCACCATGATGCAGTTTATAATAGTTATTCAGCATACGCTGATAGTGTTTCATTTGAAATACTGGGTTCTGTTTTTCATTCCGAGTCCTCATCGGAACAGGTATGTGCAAGAAATGATTTGAAACACAAAGGGATTGCATTGAAAGAGAAAAAAGGTCAAGCTGCAGATCTCAAAATGAAGACTGGTAAGGAATCAGATAAACAAGCAAAATCTAAACATAAATCATTAATGATTAGAGATAGCATTCAAAAATTTGCAACTGAATTAGTTGAAAAAAGTTTTGGCAGTGCATTTAAAGACCTGCAAAAAGGCGTTTCTTCATGCACCAATGCACTTTGTCATTTGGCTGCTAGGTTAACTTCTTCAGTCTTTCAGATGGCTTTTTATGAGATTGGAAGACGTAGAGCAATCTCCCTGAAGGAGCGTGCCATTAATGGGATAGCCAGCTTTTTGGTGAGTGAAGCTATAACTGGTGCTTTGAAAGAACTGCGGCACGTAAAGAAACAAATATTTACCAACACCGTTGCACGGTTTGCGGCAGACCTTGCTGAAGAACTTGTGTTTGAAGGAATCATGGAAGTATGCCAGTTTTCATATCCATCGACACCTACAGCTGCACAGCCTTCATCATTTGATTATGAAGACAAAGTGGTAAGATCCTATGCCAGAGATTTGTCTGAATCTGTCATTCAGGAGGCTTTTATTGAACTATCTCAGGTTGATGTGACCTTCACAACACAAGCAGCCATTAGTGTTTCCATGGACAACATTAAATATGTGAGCGCAGAAAGTACGTTAGAGTCAACACGGACTTCCACGGTTTTTCCTAATTTTAATGATAGGGTAGCACTGAAGCCAATCCAAGATTCCAAGAAGGAATACACAGTACAGCAAGCTCTATTTTGCACCTCTGGTGTTGTAAGTTCAATACCTGTGCCCTTAGCTGGAAGAGCTCTTTGTCAACATCAGGTTTCCTCTGATGCTTATAAAGCAAGAGTATCCACTGCTCCGAATTCTGATGACAATATGAAAATATACAAAGATGCCACTCATCCATTTTTCACAAGCAGAAAGAGAGAGGAGGAAGTTGCTTCTTTCAGAAATATATACCTGACTTCCGATCACAGTCAAAGTGCTGAAAATACTTCATCACTCTTATATAACCAAAATGATATCAAACAAACAAATAACAGATCTGGAATGAACAATAATTCAGAATTAACAGGAGCGTCAAAAGGCATTAATACTTTCTCTGGAACTATGGTAGATATGATAGTAAATGAAGCTTATGAAGCCATAACCTCATCTAGAGTAACTAAAGCAGTGGAAGAGTATACAGATTTTTTAACAAGAAAAATAATAGATAAAAAACCTTATGTGCAATGTGTTGATGAAGATTTCCCCAAGAATGTGTTTGCAGATCACTTGGCCAAGTATGTCATAACACAATCTGTGGATGAAAGTAAAAACGTGTTATGCAACACTAGTGAGAATTTACCATGTAATGTGAGCTCACACGCTTATGCAGGTATCGGTAGAAAAGAACAATGTGTGATAAAGAAGCAAGAGGCTGAGAAACAAAGTAATGTTTCTATAATTGTGGAACAACAGCAGATGCCTTTGAATAATCCATGTAAATTTCTTCTTACTCCAACTCATTCTGTTCAGTGTTTTTCAGAATCTAAAGATTGTTGGCAGGAACAAAAAGGACACAGGTTTTCTTCAAAATCACCACCGCCTTGTTCCACTGTGACTTTTGCCAGGCATGTTCTAGAGGACTTTACTGACTCGGGAAGCTGCTCAATAACATACTTAAACAAGCCCTCAAAAAACCATGATACTCTGAAACCATCATCAGGACCTTTGACTTACAGGCAGGCTGATTGTTTTCTGCATACAAATAGCTTTTCTTCAGTGGTGTTCGGCAGTGAAGATGCTTTGCAGATGGAAGATAAATCAAGTCTCAAAGATGGAAATACCTGTGTAATGCCTGATACACCCCCACCAACTCCTTTAGTACCATGTCAAGGTAGTTCTGAAAGAAACCTAAGAAAACTGTCTAAGAAACTCAAGGGAGAATTAGCAAAAGAATTTGCACCTGCAACACCACCTTCTACACCATACAATCCATCTGTTACTGGTTTATCTGAAACTGAACATGACTCTTTGGAAAATGAGGAATTTATGCTGAAACTTATGCGGTCGCTTTCTGAAGAAGTGGAAAGTAGTGAAGATGAAGATCATTCTGAAATGCCTGTTGAGAAAGAGCAGCATTCAGAAAAAACAATTCAGTATGCAGATTGCTTAGCTAGCCATATAATTTCAGTAGCGACTGAAATGGCTGCTTCCCATTTAGATGGTAAAACAAATGAAAGAGACGCTGATAGGCAGGTTCAGTTAGGTATGCAAAACAAAAGATGTGGATATGCTGCATTTATAAATATCCCAGAAGAGACGTGCAGTTCTTTATGGAATTATGCAGGTGATATGGCAGGGAAAGTCATCAATGAGGCCAAGAAAATAGTGAAATCAAGGCATTGTAAACTGTTGAAGTTGAAGCGCGTTAACTGTCAGGTGGATTGCCTTTATCTGAGAAGAGGCGATAAAGATTATAGTTCAAAAGAACAGTGTGGTCCAGTGCGGGACCAGTGGCTGGGGGAGAAGGATTCATCTGTACTTCCTTTACCACAAGGTTCAGGCATGACAGGTTTGACTTCCAAATACCCAAGCTGTGAGAGTGTGACTGATGAATATGCAGATCATATTATTCGAGTTTTGAAGAGAGAAGGTGGTGATGCTGAACTGTTGATGGATCAGTATGCTAGCAGACTTGCTTACAGGTCTGTCAAATCAGGCTTACAGCAAGCTGCTAGAAAAACTAAATTGAGATACAACAGAAAGACGTTTCCTGGGCAAAATGCACAGGTAAATGGTAAGCTGGAGCTGATCAAAGCAGTCAATAAAGATGCAGTACAGCAGGTGAAAAGCAGCATTCATTGCTGTGAAGACCAACCATATGAAAGGAGTATTGGCACACAGAGAACAGAATGCACAGAGTTGTTACATTTTTCAGAATCCCTTGCTCGCAGTATCACTTGTGATGTCAGGAAGAAATTGAAAATGTCGGGAGCATGTTTGCCAAAGTCTCTAACAGATTCCTGTCTGTATAAAAAGACTGAATTTGATGAAGTCACAGGGGATCTTATTAAAACAAGATTTTCTAGGACATTTCTTCCTTTCTCCCCGGATCATAAACTGTATCATAGTACAGGCAGTTTAAATGAAAATGGCTACAGTGAAGGCATAATTCAAGCTATAGAACAATACGCTAGGAAAGTAGCAGATGATACTCTAGAAATGAGTTTAGAGTCGGCTGTTCTCCATGTGGCTGAAAACAGAAAAAATGGGGATAGGCTCTCATATACTGAGAAACTGTCTCCTTTTTCTGGAACTGTCTGTAGATGCTGCAGTATGAAGGAACATCGGTACTGTACAGAAAGTACATCTCATGATCTACCCGCGCAAGAAGCCTCCATTCCAGTGAGGCATTTTCTTCATTCTGGATTAGGTGGTGCCTGTCAAAAATCAAGAGTGTTTCAGCTTGATATTCCTAAAATTCACGTTGATGTAGAACAGAAGATGGTGTTTTCTGACAAGGGGGCTACTGCGGCCGTAGAGAAAGCAGGAGAACTGAGTTACACAAGTATGACAGCTGACAGTGGTATTGGACAAGATGGAGTCAGTTTTGCTGAAAGCCTTACTACTGAAATAATGACATCAGCTATGACTAATATTGGTCAGGCAGTTAACATAAGGTAATATTAATTTTCTTTTATTTGTTGCATTCTGTACCAGAAAAAGAAGGATTTTTAATACAAATATGTGCTTAGAAGGAATTTTTTTAGAAGTATATACTTTGTTCTGCATGTTTTCTTTGTGTTCCTCTGGTGATATTTAAATGATTCAGAACTAGGAAAAACAACAAAAACCAGACGTTTTTCGACCTGCGTGAGCTTGAAACCAAGGTTTCTATGTATATCAGCATGCATGTGTTCCAGTAGGTGACTAATAATAAGTGGAACTTACTATTTCAACTTGAAATGCTGTTATTTTTACCTACACTAGAGAATACTAGGCCTTATGGGTTTTGTTGATCTGTGAGCCATGACAAGAATCCAAGTTTGTTCCCTACCTGTATTTCCTCTTCTGTGCTAAAAAATAAAAGTAATTTATTTTTGCTTTTGTCAGTAGGACCAACATCTGGTACTGGCCAAACTAGCCATTGCTTTATAGTATGAAGGCTTTATTTTGATTATGGCTGCGTTGTGATAGTGTCCTTATTATTGGCAAAAAACCCACAACTCCTCTCCTTAAGAAAAAACAACTTACTAAAACACACTTTAGCTTATAAAGTAGTAACACAATAGACAAGGAACTGACTTTCAAATTCTTGTGTATTTAGCAAAGGCTAATACACTGTTTCCATTAACAGGCCCATAAATAGGAAATATGTGCCACAGTAACTTTGCGGCAAACAACAACTGTTTCTTAAAACAGACTGCAGTGATTAAAGTGACTCAATCTCCTCTTCTTCAGGTCCAAGAGTAATCTTTACCATGTTGTTTTTTCCAATTTATAGTAATATTTTATTTTCCTACTCTTTTTTTTGTGGGGGAATTCCTCACACTATCTACGAGTTTCTTTTGCTGGTTTCTAGAGGGGCATCATGATGACTAATAAAATTGATTTTTATATGTTCAGTGGTTCAAGGCCACAGTGTGACTGAACTGAATTTTTCAAGGTTTCATATGATACACATACATACTAGCAGTGTAAAAGTGCTCATAAGATGTATATTGTGGCATTCTGCACAAGAGGGTTGAGTCCTTACTCAGTATGTGACAAAAAAAAAAGCCATGTGGTGATGTTTTTCTATACCTACAGTATCAAAGATGACACTTTGTTTCTGAATCACTTCTTAAAAATATTATTTAAAAATTCTACTTAGAATGTGACAACAATAAAATGCAGGGTTCAAAGAGATACTGTTTATTATTATATCTGACAAAGAGGTGATATTAGGATTTTACTATGACAAAATTTATAAATGTTTCTTACATTGTCATCTAATGTATGCTATGTAATATGTATGTTTCTTGAGAAGCTGCCTTGTGTGGTGAAAAGAACTGTCTCTAGTGCTGGTATAACTAATTAAAAATGAGGGGGGAAAGAAGTCACGATTTTACTACCCAGTTGGGCTCCAATTCAAGCTGTGTATTTGTCTGCACAAATTTGTGCTCACTGGTGCAAAGTGTTGCCAGTGATGTGGTTAAGGTTGGCTTTTTAAGCAGTGAATGTTACTGTGGCTGCTTGCTATGGTGGTAGTAGGATGATCACCTTTCTTGAACTTTCTACCACTTCATCTGTATATAGATAATCACAGTTTGCCCCTGAAACTTAGTTCATAACTGCATGTTCTCTTATTGTAACCTTTATTATAAGGAGTTCGGACTTCTTTAAAGTTATCAAACTGGATCTTTTGAAGTGTCTTTGAAAGACTACCTTTTTTTGAGCATACCTGCTTGATTGTGTTTTTGGATAAAAAAAATTTAAATTTATTTCCTGAGGGAGAAATTCTGTACAAGTCATGCATTGCTACACTTTCTTGAAGCAGGAAGACAAATCATTATCTACAGAAAGACCTTTTTAAAAAATGGAATCCTAACATTTTGAACACCAGTGTGTACTTAAGCACTTTGCCTACAATAGCAGGCCACCTAGCTGGTTGTACCTAAAGCAGGCAGAGGATGATAGCCAAACTGTCGTATGGTGAACAAGTTCAAAAATGGTAAGTCTTCTGCTTGAAAAGTGTGCCTTGATATACAGCCTGTAAGGCTACAATGCCTTCTATGCTTTACAGCAAATGATCTTCTTAAATGAGAGAACTATTTGTGCCACTCCCTTTGTCTTCTAGTGAAAGAATTCCAAATAGCAGTCCCTGACCTAAGCCTGTTGAAATCTCAAATTCATGTGATTGCTCCGTTTCTTGTGTTGAGAATAGGGTACAAATTAATGGATTTCCCCCCTCCTGCCCTCTTTTTTTTTTTTTTTTTTTTTTTTCCCTTGGAATTTAATGTCTTTGAAATTGTGTTAAATTGCTGTAAATGAACTAACACAGATTGGTATGAAATGCAGTGATGTTTTTGTCTTTAAATTTTTGTTCAGCTCTGTTGGAAGAGAAGGATTTCATTCTGTTGAATCTGTTGTTAGCCAGCAGATGAGTCTTAGTATTGGTGATGATAGCACTGGGAGTTGGTCCAATCTAAGTTTTGAAGATGAACATCCTGATGAGAGCAGCAGTTTTCTTCACCTCAGTGACAGGTAACTTTAACATATTAGTATAGTTAAACAGTTATCTTGACATCAAATAACTTGGCATCAAGTGGTTTTCTCCTGGGGGTCAGGGGAGAAGAGATTATTTTGTCTTCAACACACAATTACTTTTTTTTATTAAAAGTGGCTCTCATGTTATGTTTGTGTTTTCTTAGAAAACGTTATTGCCCATGAATGTACATACTATACACTCTGTAAATTATGTGGAGTATGCATTGTCATTGATGTCAGGGAGTCACATCAAGTAAAACTACATAATTTAAGTATTAGCAAAAGATGCAGGTGTTTTAAAAACAACTGCCACATATAAACTACTACTTGAAAGTACTGTTTATAAGTTGTGCTCTGAAATATTAAAACTTAATCATTGAGAATGTGTTTTATGTAAATTCATCTATTCTTCAAAAGAAGTAATACAAGCTTAATTTGCATGAGGAGCTTTAACAGATATTTTTATCTTTTTTGGGACTTGAATTTATAAGCTTTTCTAACTGATATTGGTGGAGTGTTTATGTACTACTAACAATGAGCTTACAGGTGTGTAACATTGGAACTTACCTGTTCAGGGTAGTAACTTTTTCCACAGAGCTTCTCACTACACTTTCCCTGGCTGGTTGATAGCTGACAAAGATTAGAATGGGAATTTTAAAAGCCTGCAATGTTGCTGCCTGTTGCCAGGGAAAATTATTTTGAGAGTTGTGGCCTGAGCTTCTATATAAGGAATATATGAGGAATGAGTAAACTGAGTCTTTTGTGATTGATATACCACTTATGTTACTGCAGAAAGTTCAGCGTTTCTGTTGAAGAGCAGAAATGGGGGAGAAGTTTTTTTCTTTTTAGTTAGTACTTCTGCATTACTGAGATTAAAGAAAATACGGGAGTTATGCTTCCTTATGTAATGTACAAATAGGTTATGTGGTACCAAAGTGAAACTGCTTACTTAAATGTCTACAATATTTCTCATGTTTTGCTTAACTAAGTATTTTAATCAAACCACTACTATAATTTATCACTCATACAACTGAATAATTTTGTAAGAGAATATGTTCCCTTAAAGTTATTAAAATAAAATATCATCTGTTGAATGAGTGGATATGAGTTAGTCTTACATGATGAAATTCAGAGTATAAGGAAGAATATTCAGCATTTGGCAGCTACAAATAGTGAATAAAATACAGGTTAGTTGATGCTGGGGGGGGGGAAAGTATAAAAAAATTGCTGGACCTGTAGTGCCCATTCTGTATTTGCTGTTTGTTTTCATTTAAATCCATTTTGGGGATGATAAAGTAATTTCTATAACTTGCAAGAAAATATGTGGCTCATTAGAGGAGGAATGACCTAAATTAGCATTTAACTCAGAGAAAGGGAGGCATAATTTGGATAGCAAGGTGTTGGCAGAAGAAACTAGCATGAGCAAATTGATCAGCTAGTTTTACAAAACTAACTGCGGATTGGTAACAGCGCATAGGTAGGTTTGTGTTGCTGAAGTTTAGCAGGTGGAAGTGACAGGATCTGGGGCTATTGCCCTGAGTAAAAAGATACGGGGCAGGGGAGACCTTTTGTAACAAAACAAGATTCAGTAATAACACCGTTTGTGGAACAGTGTTAGCATCTTCTAAGGAAAGAAAAAATTGCATGACAGTGATGAAGATGTATCGCTTTTATCTCCTCTTTTTAACATAAATTGTTTTATTAAACAGGAAAATGCCATTTGGTCATAGAGGGGGCATTCATTATGCAATTATGACACTTGAAAGTTTGGGGGTTTGTTTTGGTTTTTTGTCCTTTTTCTTATGGTCAGGGCCATCTGTTCAAAAATATTATGCTGGTTATATGTAAACCATGTCAATTTTAGTACATTTAAATGTACTATCAGGTAGCATTGCTCCCCTGGCAGCTATTTCTTAATGCAAGTAGCTTCCTTGTGTCTAAGAAGCTGTCAGCAGTCTTGCTTGTACCATTTTTGAGTTACTAGGTGTCATTAGACCAACTTGTTTGTAGTGCTGGTACAATATAATTAAGTGACATAGTGAACATTAAGCAAGTTTTACTTGGTGGGGGAGGACCTCGCCCTTCCCCCAGTATTTTCCAGGTTGTTTGCAGTATTAGATGGATACAGGTAATTGAAACTCCTTTAGGTGACATTTTGGAAATTACCTTGTTAATAGTAAACTTAGAGATTCTGTTAACAGTAGCTGAAATGTTTTTAGAGCACAGGATCACAATCCCCAGAAAGCAACACAACAATACAAGCTACAGTGGTCTAGTTCAATTTACCTTGCTTTGCTTTACTTCAGGGGAAAAAAATACATTTTTTGTAGCAGCTCTGTTGAAACAGTACATGCCCTCTGCATCTCAGATCAATATAAAAATTGTACTTCAGTACTTCACAGAGGATTAAACTATCTGTAAACAAGGGAGCAAGACAACTTGGAAAGAATTACCAAAGCATGATCCCTGCAGTTCCATTTGAATGGAAATAGGAATGACATTTCTTTAGCGGACTTGGTAAAGTTAGCTATGCAGGGGAGTGCTTGTGTCATCTGCTTTGCATGCCTAACATTAGTGACTTAAATTGATAAATAAAAGTCTTAAGTTTTCTCTATAGTTAATGTATAGGTATAGGCATAGACATAGGCTTTTCCAGCAGATGAATCAGAGCATCCAGGTTAAGTTATAATTCAGAGCGGAAGCCTCTTGCCTTTGACTGTATGTACATAATGCAGAATCTCAAAGCAGATGATCTGAGTTATAGTTCCCATATAGACAGTATATATATAAAAGTTGAAAGCTTTCTTGTAATTTGTTTGCTGGCTCATGTTGAAGAGCTGCATGAAGCATTATAGAAGCATTATAATGCCTTTGTTTATTGCTTGTTGTGTGGTTGCAGGACTTTATTTTCAAGGTTGTTAATTGGGCATCTTACAAAATAAAAAAATCAGTTACATTACAAAAAAGTCTCATACATTGCTATGCATTGTAATCATATGGTTTAATATATAATTATTTCAGACCAAGCTTGACCTCTGAAATATATATTAATCTCTTACCTAATCAGAATAGCAGTATGCATGAGGTTATTCTGTTAGGTTGCAAATACTTTTTCCTTTAGTCAGAGAACTGGGGCAGGTTTTGCTTCCACTTATGTTACCCATCTGTAACTTCCAGTGTAAGAGGCTATTTGAATGCAAAATACTGGTATCGACAGGCTATGATAAATCTTATCTATGCATCTAATTGAAACCAAATTTAATACTTCATATATACTGTGATAGTGTCACACAGTAGCTTGAGAAATGTTCTTAAGACCAGGTTTGCATTTTCTGTGCAAATCAAGTTGGTTTCTTTGGAAGCTTCTGCTCTTTAATTTTCTTTTTTGTATAATGAGAGAACCATTTGATTGTTCTTTGCACATGTAGTCTAAATAAGCAACAATGTGCTGAATGAAGCACCTGCAACTTTTTAATTTTTTTCCCTGTTAAGGTGTGTTCATATTGCAGGCTTGCTAACATGCTGTTGCTATTTTGAAATTAGGATCGAAGCAGGCATACTGGAAAGTAAAGGACACTGATAGGTGATGCTGTTACTGGTAGACTCTTGAAAGAGATTAATGTCTGTCTCTTGAAATGTTTCTTTCCACCGTTTGTGGTTTTAAATTTTACTGTTTGCCTTGAGTGGAATGAGTGGAAGAGAGCTTTAACAGTCACACAAAGCTTAGGTGAAGAAAGCATCTTCTTGCAGCAGTTGTTCTCTAGAGTTGCTTCATGGCTTGTCATACATATAGTAGGCAATCTAGCTTTCTCAAAGAATGCTGGTTATCTTGAAATCCTGTTCTTGGAAGGCTTGCAGATATGCTCTGGGTGAGGTTTGAAGTTGAGGAACAGAGATTTAATCATATGAGTAGCTCAGTCTTGTACATAGGTACAGGCATAACAAACTCCGCTGATTATAATGCCTGAAGTGTACCAGTGTGAGGACATACTCAATTTTTTCAGTTCTTTGCATTGGCTTGAATGTAGTCATGGAATAAATGCAGTATGTTTATGAGCTGTGAGTGAAGTAATCTTTTTAGTATTGTTTTCACTGATCTATAAACCCCCTTATTTTTAAAAGATCAGCTTGTAGAACAATATTCAGAATTAGAAAAAAAAATTTGCTCCAAGAATTCCTTCTCATGAGGCTGTTGGAGATCTTTACTGGATTTTTGGAATGAGATGGAAGGATTTTATTTGTGGAGTTGTCTTAACAATGTATGATTTTATGAACTCTTATCTAGTCCTTAAGCAAATACTATAGTTGTAATCCATATTCCTATGAGTAATAATATTGAAATTGTTGAGCTTGTATAAACAACAAGCAATGTGCTTAGACCTGAGGACAGAATTACTGTTGGCACTTATCTGGAAAATTAATGAGTACAAATTAATACTTTCATCTGTGTACTGAAACTTACCAGTTTTGCATTATTGTGCACATTGCTGCTCTGAGTAGCACTGACAATCATGTTTGTACACTGTTCCAGCAAACCTGTTTAGGAAGTTTCAGTGCTCTTGCATTAAATGTCTTGACAAAACAGCTCTAAGGAAAATGAAGGTTCTAGTTTGAGCTATTGTTCTTTTTCTAGTTCAGCTGTGTTCTCTTCTTCTCCTGGCAGTAATGGTAACAGCAGTAGCTGGAGCAGTCTTGGTTTAGAAGGTGATATGTATGAGGAGAATTTATCCTTTCCAACATCAGACAGGTTGGTTGAGTTGAGAAATATAAACCAGATGGGTTCCTCATAATTAATGCATGAAATCATCATTTTGGAAAATAAAAATATGGTGCATTTCTTTATGCTGATGCATTATTCACACTCTTCTCACTTAATCAGAACATGATTTTTTTTTTCATTAATTAATCCATACTGAATGGTTAAATTTTGCTGTGCTACACTGATGAATGTATTCTGCTTGCAAAATGAAAGGTCCCTTTGTGCATGTTCTTGCTTGCAGTTTTACAAGTCTTTAGATTTACTTTTTCATGCAAACTAGAGCTTGCTTCCTACAGGATTTCTGTTTTTTCCTTTAGCTTGTGGAAACTTTCAAATTGCTTGGTAGTTGATTTTTATAGAACACATGATTTACAGCTTTGAATAACCTATAGCTGTTCATACCTGTGACATAAGATGGCTCAACCTTTTCACATGTGACACAAAACTGAACTGTCCTCCTTAATTAAAATCAATAAGTGTTTTTCTTATTTTAAAATGTCTTCATATTACAGTCCTTCTTTTTAACACCCTTCTCTTGTTTCTCTCTTCTCCCTTCTTTCCATAAGAGCAAATCTTGTGAAGTTCATGATTAATCTGTTTCCAAAATGAAATGGTGTGAGAAGCAAAGCTTCTTTTCATGATCACTTCTTAATTCTTTTATGATCTTCCTGTCCTTTAAGCTTCATTACAGTTTTAGGATTGACTACATTTATTGTGCATATATTGGATTGTATTAATATTTTTGTTTTATTTTTAAAATACAGTGATGGAACAGAAGATAAAGATGAGGACTGCAAGGATGCTGTAGAAGGTAATGTCATTTCCACCATATACTACTGTTCTTGACCTGTGTGTGCTCTACATGAATTGTTTTTGTTAATTCTTTGCTTCTGTAGTCTGCAAAACAAGGTGACAACCCTGTTATCCCTATTCATCATAATGCATGTCAGTCAAGTGTCAGAATATGTTCTTAGATTAATACCCTACATACATCTGTTACTGCACTGAAATTTACGGCCTTTGGGAAATGCTAGTCTCTGCTTATACATGTATTTAATAACGTAAGGTAGTGAATTCTGATCAGCTTGTTGAAAGTGTAAATTTATATGCATAGAATAACTTCTTTGTAAGATATTTGATAAGGAGCTATGGCAGTTCATCTGCATGGGTATGTTTGAGATACTGAAGAAGTTACTCAAACTGGTCATATTAACCTTGGAAGAAAAGTCATGAGAAAAAATGAAAAAAATTGGATTTATTACATTTGCTACAATCTCTTTCCTCTTAGTGAAATACGAAATAGGGTCTATCCAGAATCCTGTTACGGCTCTCTAGTTCATAGAAGATTTCTGCACTGGTTCCAGTCTGGCTGAAGTGCCAAAGGTTGTTAACTCAAATGAGAACAGTCTGAATACACAGTGTATGAGGCTGATTTAAAGATGAGCTGATGTTAGAGCAAGTTGTAACAGAGCTTTTCTTTGTGTTGGGTATATCCTGAAGATGAAATAAGCATTTCAAGAAACCTCTGCTACCCACTTACAGAGGATGTTCAGCCATGTTGTACATCTTCAAATAGTCTTGATGTAAGCAGAAAGATGTGTGGTTCTTTTCTTTTTTTTTTTTTTTTAAACTCCTGAAAAAATGTATGGAAATGAACCACATATCTTAATTTTTTTTTTTAACCAGTTCTGACTGTAAGGTTATAAGGAGATAAAACTAAATAAATTATTTAGTATTTTTCCACAGAACATAATTATAATTAAATTATTTTCTGCTCTGTAGGTTTCATCTAGGTTATCAATATACCATTGCTTTCTTTTGGTCTCAACTTTAAAAAGTTCTAGCATGTCAAATGTTCAAATTGTTTGATTAAAATAGTGCTTGATTTTATTTCTTTATACAGTTCAGGTGTCTCCTGAAGTGCATCAGACTGCTTTATACGGTATTAAAGATTTTCTAGTAAAACTTTTCCACTTTAATTTCTTTACCATCTCACAATTGTTTTGAAAACAGTCTTTCTGTTACTTCCATTGTAGGACCATTTAAATAGTATTCTAGGTAGAAAACCTTTGTACCTGGTCTTGTACTTTCGGAAGTTCTGTTCATGTCATACCTGGAAATGTCTGGCTTTTTCTAAGCTGACTGTGCCTTGTTCACCAAAGAATTTGAAACAAAGCCTTGTTATTACAAAATGTACATCTATTTTATAAAACTAAAAAATGTATCAAAACTTCCCAGCAATATATGACCACCGTGCTTTCCATCCACTAAGTGTCATAAATTCTTTCTATAATTGGTTCTTTCTCCTATAAAGATATTGGATTTTGGGGCTCCTCAACAAATATTCTGTTGTCGACCAAAAGCACACTTATGTTGACAGTTCCACTAGTTAGTTTTCTCTCTGTCTTACCTGGTGGGGGAATCTATTTCATCTTGCTTAACTTTGCCAGTTAGCAATGAATACCTCATGTACCTCAATTTTCATAAGCTTGATTGGAAGAGTAGTAAGATTGAGGTAAACTGCACATGAACATATTATTTTCATTGCAAATATATTCCTTGTTTCTAGAGCGTTAAGTGCAGTAGTCTGGAAGTAGAGACTCCAAGAACAACTTGGAGAGCACTATGTATATGCTTAGTTGGTTCTGAAAGCATGAAAAAGGATTACTGTGATATCTGGATACAGAAATTCAGAGCTGGGAACAGAAGATGACAATACTGTAGTTTCTCTGTGTTATTAATGACTGCTCTTTCAATACTGTGTCAATTTTTGGAACTCGTGCTGTAAGGGAAGTGTTGAAAAATTGGATAGGCCTCAGTAAAAACAACACTGTATTTTGGAAAAACTCAGAGGCAGTCTGATCAGCCTGCCTGTACAGCAAAGAATTCTGAAATACACACTTTTTAGAAATTCAGTCGATGAAGGCATAGCAAAAAAATAGCAGTTGGAAACTGATATGACTGATGGACAATGTGAGAGCCATTGCTGTTCAGTTTATGAAAGGCCATGTTAAATTCCTTGTCATTTGGAATATGCATTAAAGCGTAGATGCCTTTTAATACTCATCTCTGTTTGCATACAGTTGTAAATGGGATAAACAGTACTTCTTTATGTGAAAGTATAGAAACACTTCAGCATGATTTTTTTTCCTTTCATATTATCTGAGTGTACTAAATAGTGGTTTTAAGATAATGTAGTCTGAACAGTGAACTACAGAGACTTTTTTTGAAACAGTTTGAAGCTATAGATTTGATTATTTTATTTTTAATATTAGGTTTGGAGCAAGCACGAAAGACTTTAGCAATAGTGAATGTTGATCTGGAACCAAATCTAGTGGACCCCCAGCTCAGAGCAGCACTCCAGTGGCTGGCAGCTTCTGAAACAGAGGTGTCTGATCTTCACTTTCATGACACTGCTATAAGGGAATTTGTCTTTGTAAGTACTTGGATTTGGTGGGTGGTGGGGAAGGGGAAGGATTTGCTTGATTTTCATTTGCTGTGATACACTAGCTGCTACTACTTTATTTGGCACTCAATAATAATGAGGTATTTTCTGTTGAGGAAAATAATTAGTTAAATCCTGAGAGGTCAAAGTGGAACAGCCTGTGCATGTACCATAAATAAAACAGTATTAATCAAAGCTGAGTTAACTTGTTTCACAAATTGTTTTCCTTCTTTTACTCCAAAGAGGATACAATTACAGCATTTTTGTTCAGTGAAAAATATGTTTTTTCAAGCTTTTTTTACTTAGTATTTAATTGTCTATAAATTGAATTTTTCTGAGAGCTTGCTCATGCAAATTAATTTCTAACTTAATATTCTGATGTTCTGGCTCAGTTTTTTTTTTGCTAGCAAATGCACATTTTCTTATTAGAAAGAAGTTTAGGTATTACTTAAGTATTAAGTATGTTTTTATTCTCCAAGCAACTGCAACCAAAACTATTAAGAAGGAAGGCTCAATAAAATTGTTTAATTTTTAGGTGCCTTTATTTTAGTTTTATAGATTGAATTTAATATGTGACCAAAGAGGAGGTGGAAGTTTAAAGAATTAGGCTTTAGGATCCACCCAAGGGTACTGAGTGAGCTGGTGGAAGTGTTCACCAAGCCACTTTCCATCATTTATCAGCAGTTCTGGCTAACCGGGGAGGTCCAAGTTGACTGGAAGTTAGCAAATGTGACTCCCATCTACAGGAAGGGCCAGAAGGAGGATCCAGGGAACTACAGGCCTGTCAGTCTGACCTCAGTGCTGGGGAAGGTTATGGAGCAGTTCATCCTAAGTGCTATCACGCGGCATGTACAGGACAACCAGGTGATCAGGCCCAGTCAGCACGGGTTTATGAAAGGCAGGTCCTGCTTGGCTGACCTGATCTCCTTCTGTGACAAAGTGACCCGCTTAGTGGATGAGGGAAAGGCTGTGGATGTTGTCTACCTAGACTTCAGTAAAGCCTTTGACACCGTCTCCCACAGCATTCTCCTGGAGAAACTGGCTGCTCGTGGCTTGGACAGGCAAACTCTTCGCTGGGTAAATACTGGCTGGATGGCCATGCCCAAAGAGTCGTTGTCATAGAATCATAGAATGCTTTGGGTTGGAAGGGACCTTGAGAGATCATCTAGCCCAACATGGAGTTAAATCCAGTTGGAGGCCGGTCACAAATGGTGTTCCCCAGGACTCAGTACTGGGGCTGGTTCTGTTTAATATCTTATGATACCAGTGATCTGGAGGAGGGGATTGAGTGCACTCTTAGTAACTTTGCAGATGACACCAAATTGGGTGGGAATGTTGATCTCATTCTCTGAAGTTCTTTTGATGTGAATGAGTTGAGTTTAGTGACTACAATCATTCTGACCTTGTGAGTTGGTTTTGCCATCTTTTTTGAAGATCTATCCATTTCATGCTTGCCATATGTAGACTGCAGTGTTGCAAATGCTCAGGCAGAATAGTGGTAGGACCCACAAGTGTTAGTAGCGGTCTCCTTTGTGTATGTGAGTGACACCTGTATCTTGCACTGCAATGTAACATGTTAGACAAAAAATAGATGGCAGGGGCCTTTTTTTGTTTGTTTGTTTTTAATTTCAATTTTTCCTTGAGTCTGTCATTCTTCTGCCAGCTCTGACTTGGTAGATTTCAAAGTTGTGATGCTGCTATTTGAGCCAATGCCTGAAGACACATAGGAAAGATATTGTTAGTTGGCTGTGTATCTGAACAACACCCTAGCTACCCTAATAAGAGAATATGCTGAGATGAGAAGAACACTCTGGAAATAGCAGTGTCTATTATGTATGCCCTCCTAAAAAAATTGTAATATTTTTCTACTTGACGCTTCAGTCATAAATTGATAATGAGTTGACACTTAAAGATAAAACATAAGACCTTCAGGCAGGCAGTAGTCAAGCAGTCCTGAAAATGTTGAAATAGTGAATTGATTCACTTAATTTCATAGATTAATTTTTAGTTCTCCAAATGCAGTTATGTTAAAATGAATTGAAATCCTGTTTCCCCCTCTGGAGGCAGGGAAGGATTACCTGCTTTTTATGCCATCCCATTTCTCAGTTGGAATGTATAACACTCTCTACAAACTTGTGCCCTTGTCCATTTTGTGCTGTTTATCTAAACTGAATTGCCAAACCCCAGAAATTCACCTGTTGTGTCAGTCTGACTCGGCATCTCTTAGAGTTCAAAGGAAGGTACAGAGTTTTCAGAGCACAGTCTCTGTCTGAATAATCTTGTATAGGAAAGATTAGGATGCATACAAGTATCACCTGATTAGTTTCTGAAGTTAAAATATATTTCAACAATGTTCAGATTATAAATTCAGAAAATGAAGACTTTCTGAAAGGATGCTTGTAATTGTTTTAAGGTCCTCTTGAAAATAAACTGTTCTTTCAGGATTGTATTAATAAAAATAAGATATTTAGTACTACAAAATAAGAAGTCTTGCAGTTAGTCCCAGCCTGATCCTGGTGATTCTGACCCAAACTGAGGGTCTTAAATTAGCAATAGTTATTCTCAGTTCTGTTGCTAGTAAAGCTAGACAAGCACCTCCAGAGGGCACTACAGCCCAACAGAAAACTAGACTGACATCTATATACTGATCTCTCACCAATTTTGATCATCTCATAGGTACTTTGGAAAGTTACCTCAGTTACACGGGGAATGAACCTGGGTTTTAGATCACATTGAAACAGTAATTTTCACTATAAGCAGTTGGGTGGGTTCTAGAAGGGAGGAAAGGCTTGTGTTAGCTAATCACAGCAGGGTAATGAGCCACTGATGTGATGTGGCTGTATAGAAGACAAAAATACTCCTAGCATATATCCGGCAAGGTCTTACTTGCTGCAGCTGGGTATGAACTCTTACTTAAGGATACACGTTATGCTCAGCCAGGCAGAAAGAAGTTGAATACCTCTGTATGAAACAAAATATATTTGTTAGGAGCTAGAACAAGAAGCCAGTAAATTAGAATAGATAGTTCTTAACTTTTTTGAGAAGCCTGACTGTGGATATACAGGTGCCTGGATTAAAAAACCATATATGTTCAATTTTTAATCAGACTTTATCTAGCTGGTTTAGGATTCCTGGTGTCTATTTTGAGTAAATTCCAATATTGTGTTTGTCTGACAGTAAGAAACACATCAGTTGGCTAAAGAAGTAGTGGGACTGAACTTTGAGCTATAAATTAAAATAGAAAGATTAGTGAAGCCAGGTGCCAAATCTGTCATATTACTATGGTGCTCTCTTCTTCAGAGAAAAATTTTGCACTGTATTTGCTTAAGTAGGTCTTTGAACACTAGCCAAACTTTCCTCTGGCATAAGAAAAATGACCATTCATTTATAAACCAACAACCACTTACAAAATTGCCTGTTGTAGACTGTAAAACTCTTGCTTCCTCTGCTCTATTTTAAAATTCACAAATAATTCACAGAAATAACTACAGATTTCAGTCCCGTTTTATGTAGAAATGTCCTGGTTTCAGTGTTCAGGATATATTGTACTCAAGATTAGAGGGGATCTTTTTTGCTTGTTGAAGTTAATTGTCTTCTCAAGAAGTTAATTGTTTTATACATATTTTTATACCCACATTCTTCCTGTGTGTTCCGTTACCTGCCCTGTTGCAGTTGGAACCTAGGTGAAGAAGCAGAGAGAAAGTGTCTTCCTTTTCATTTTTTTTAATAGAATTTCATATTTCAATCTGATAGGTCTCATAGAAGAAACATTATGAATTTTTAATTTTGTAGCTGTGGAAGCTGTTTCACTGAAAGCTGTTTATGACTCTCCTTTTTAAACCTTAATTTATAGAATAGCATGGTAAGGACTATAAAAGGCAATAAAATTTTACTGTTCCAAAGAATACATCTTTATTAAATGCAGTGTTGACAGTTGTCCAGAAAGCTACAGAGAATAAAGTTTGTGTGAATGTTGTGGGTTTTTTGTTTTGTGGGGTTGGGTTTTTTGTTTTGTGTTTTTTGTTGTTGTTGTTGGGGGGGGTTTTTTGTGTTTTTTTTTTATTTATTTTTTTTAAACTAAAAGAATTTTTTAGTTTGGGGCAAACTGGCAAATTCATCCTTGTTTAGGGCAGGCTTTCTTCCTTATATAGCTGAGCTTGACACATAAGCAAAGGAAGACTTTTGCTTGGACTCCTGGGCGAAAAAAAAAAGTTTTCAGCTGCACTGGTCTGTGCTCCCAAGTGGTAGTTTAACTTAACCCTCACCTTTTCCTCTTCCCCAAGATGTTATAATTTCCCAACTCTGAAGACACTGTTTTCATTGAGGGTAGCATCTGTGCCACCCAAACCACACTATATGTTGTGAAAGGAAAATCCACATCCTTTTATTAAGACTCAGTTTTGTCTTTTTATATGTGCATTATTGGTATGGGAGGGGTGGCAAATGTCTTAATCTTGTGTTCAGAATTTCCTGTTTTCTGCAGTCTTGATGAACCACAGCCCTCATACCTGTGGCACCACATCATTTGAAAATGTCGCTCCCTCCAGAAGAAAACTTTGTGAAAAACTGCCCTAAAGAAAAGTGCCTGATTCTTGCGGAAGTTTTTGTTTTTATAGATGTGGGAATAATGATTAACTCATTACAACTGATCTCTTATGAGCTAATGTTTCAAGAATAACTACTGTAACTGCTAATCAGGATGTGCTGGTTAAAATATTTTGTTTTGTGTTCCCCTGTCTCCCCTTTAGCTTTCCAGAAGACTGCGAGAAAGAGATTGGAAAGTTGGAGATCTCTTGCAAGCAGTGCTGAAATATTGTGAAATGATAGAGAAGGCATGTGATGGAGACCAAGCTCTAAATAAGTCTTTGGTTGGCTGGCTTCTGGAAAATGTCTGAAAAATCCAAAGATGCAACGCTCTTTACTTCATTCCTGTTTTGAAAGGAGATAGGAAGAACACAGATATGTAAAGTAAAATTCAACTAATGAATGTTCAAGTAATTGTCAGCATTTAAAAGACTTCGAGGTGAAAGTCAAAATAGCTGTGCTGTGCTTTGTGATACTGTGCACATGGTATGTTTATTCAATCCATAATCGATATTGTCCACCCATGCAAAACTTGTATTTGCTGCTGTGTTCAGACCATGGAAACATTTATGAAAAAAGTCCCTTGTCTATGACAGTAGTTCAGAGGAGACAGTCTCAGGCATGATACTGAGGATCCCCGCTGTGCCAGGATAGCTCTTTTTCCCACTTGTATGTGTGCTATATTCACACTGGGACTAAGAGCACTGATGTTCTGCAAAAGTCTGTTCTAGAATACCTTGCTGCAGACAATGGAAAAAATTACTGACGTTGGCCAGGTGTTATGTGCCCAGAGACACTATTGCCAGGAAGAAAATTGTGACTTGCCCAAGCAGTCCCTTAATACAGTCTGGCTTCATAAGCCACTTTTATCGAGTTTAACTTTATGTGAAGATGTGAGAGTCTGCTCTGAAATTGTTGAGGTGCAAATACATGTTCCCTTTTGTTGACTACTGTAGAGCTGGTAACTCCTGGTGGAAGGGCAGAGTGCGTAGCTGAGCATAATTTCATACATACTTCTTCAGCAAGGTTTCCTGAAGCTTGCCAATCAATTTTAAATTGCTAAATTTCTTACTGAAGCTTTTTGTATGCAGATACTCCTATGATATTAAATTCCATGTCGAAGAATTTGTATGTTAATCTCTTACATAGATGTGTTAAAAGTAGCAGATAGGAACTTCTTCCTCTAAGGATTTTGGCCATCTTTTTGACTAGTCTAATTGTTTATTTCTTAGCCTCCATATTTGAATTATCTTTTCAGTAATAAAGAGAATTTTGTTACTCAGTAAGCACTTAAGCATTCAGCAAAGAAAGCTGATTAAAACATAAAGGGGAAATTTCTTGCAAATTGATTTTTCATTTTTCTTGAGTACGTTCACTGAATTTTTTTTTAAAGGCACTTTTAATCAAGTCTTTTTAGCAATCTAATCAGGTTTCTCACCAGTGCTGCTGACTTGCCCTTCTGTCTGAAGGGAAATTTGGACCTTTACATGTCCTGTGGTTTGAAAGTGCTTTTTGGGTGAGAGAAAAAGGCACGTGCTGGTAATTACAAGGTTGCCACCTCAAAACTCATCTCATTTGCAAGAGAATCATGGAGTCTTACTTATTTTGGATGAACAAAAGACTCATAATAGCTTTTTCACAGAAAAATATACTGTTGATGTGGTGCGGAACTTTCTGATCCCAAACAAGGAGAGAGAAAGTCTCCAAAGCTATTCATGAATTTTATTGGAATGTGTACAATTCTGATTGCCCTTACCCTCTAAATTACACTGGTAAACTCAAGAGCACTCTCCTTGCAATGTCTTTGTGTTTCAGGAAGGTATTCCACTGGTCTTTTTACAGAGACCTAGTTTGTTTTAGTCCTCACTTGTCATCTGTATTTCTGCCTTGGATCTCACACAGTTCTCCTTTCTTACCAACTTAAAGATTTTTAACATTTTTGTATATGCACACATGTGTGTTCACACATGTGCATACATACATAGATATGTATATGTATCTATATGTGTATGAGATCTCACCAGTATGAACTTACAATGTAATTTTTTACCACTAACTTAAAGTTCTGTTATGCTTATAGTTTATTACCTCACTTCATGTATCATTTCATTGATTGAAAGATCTGTGTTTGCCATGTGACAAAAAGACTAAAAACCATTACAAGGTCTTTCATCTTGTTATAGCTAGCATAATGCCAAGCATCAAAAATCGTTTTTCTCTATAGCCCAGAGCTGGGGGGGAAAGTTATTTTAATTCCTGTATTTGGAAGATGGGGCTAGTAACAAATATTTTGAAAGAGTTGTCTGGATCTTTTTTTTTTTTTTTTCCTCCCCAACCCCCCCATACTCCTTCCTTTTTTTTTTTTTGTTTTTTTTTTGTTTTGTTTTGTTAAGGTTGACTTTCAATGTTGTTTCAGGCAAAAATTTGAAACTATTCTCTGGCTGTAACATCTTCCCTTTAACACAGCAATAATGTACAAATTTACCTATAAAATTGAAATGTCAATAACAAAGTACTAAAAGCAGTGCCTCAGGACTAAATTTTGCTCTGGATTTTGGACCCTTGCATTCTCACCAAGTGGAATTTCAGGACATGAGGATACAGTAGTACTAGTACAGGGTCTCTGTACATGTCCAAAACCAAACTGAGAAAGATATTGAGGGCATTGTAAATGTACAAAGCTGTACATTTGAAAAAAAAAAAAAACCAACAAAACAATACTACAGGAACAGCCAGTTTTTAACTGATTTATTCAGTATGTTGGATTTTATAAAGGTGGTAAAGTGGTTTTTCTTTTTAATTACTTTCCTGGAGAAAGGCAGAAGATTGTGTGATTCCCAAAGCTTACAACTATTCAAAAAGTTAAGTAGACAACAGTTGCACTAAAAATGATTTTTATAAATGGAATCTTGTTTTCAGACTGGATCAAATACATTACGTAGCTATTGATTGGTGTTATATTAAGGAATAAATTGATCTATTAGCCTCTGAGGAAGGTAGCGTAGTTTCCAAATTTACATGAGAAAGATATGTTATAAAATACTGCATTTCTACTTAAACAAAAAACCAAACCAATTTTCTACACAAATTGTTTTAAATTTGTTCTGGATTACTTGACTTTTCTTCTTGGGTATCAAAATTGGGAAAGCGTCAAACTAGCCTGGCAAAATTATTATAATTTAATAATTTTAATAATCTTTGGGAAACCTCACTCTGACTGTATCTAACTGGTGCTGTCTTCCATATTAGTGAGAAAGCTGTTCTTTGGTAATGCAAGTCTTAAATTACGCTATTACTGAGGTTATTTAAAACTCCTGACCACAAATACAGAAGTGTAAATGAAAACTGTACAAATATGAAGGACCACATTTTGGTCCATTTAAACCAGACAACTCTGTTTTATAAACAAACATAATAAGGTAGAGTTTATTTCATCTTGCATTTTTTCTGTATGGGAAACCTGACATGGTAATTTAATTTTTAAGTTGAGGAAAATATATACAATGGTGTTATTGTACCAGAAGACACCCTGTCTCAAACACTTCATAAATATATCTGATGTTCTGAAAAATGGAAGTGTTCGGGTGTTTTGTAAGTTTCTGTAGAAAAAGCACTTTGAAAGTAGTCCCTCTATAAATTAACAATTAAAAGTGGCCATATTTAAAACAAATTTAAACATTCAGAATGGGGTGCATAAATTATACAGAAGTATGCATAAAGCCTTAAAATAAAAACCAAACAAAAACTCAAACTCATATGCTAAAATTAAAGAGGATTTGCTGTCTCAAAATAAGGATGTGAAAAAGTAGCTAAGACAACGTACTTGAATGCAATTTGTGTAGTATCTTTGTTCTTGAGTTTTAAAAGATTGTGTAAGCTTTTCAAAAGACAAAAACCAAAAACCCAGCAACCCACATTCCGAGACTAATTAGGTCTCTCAAAAATGGTATCAGATTTTAAACGTTACGTTTTGTAATGTAACTTTGTCTGGGACCTTTTCTATAAAGAGCCACATATTGTTGGAGATGGGAACACAGTAAGTAGTAAACACTGTCACCAGCACAAAACCCCCTAGTTTTACAGAGTTAATTTGCAAAGAAAAATTCAAGATTCAGGAATTATTTTAGTGTAAAAATTTTGGCTTTTCAGCAAGAGCCACTACTGTCGAGCATTTACTGTACTTGAGCTCTGAAGAGGCAAGTACAGAGCCCAGCCACTGTAGTCACTTTATTTTGTACCATCTTTGTACATTCCTGTTGTATAGCTGGAGTTGTAGTTTTAGAGGGCCTTTGTTCTGTTGTAATGTCTGAGTAGTATTTAATACTAAAATTTATTATAATTTGCTGGAACTGCTGCTTATTTGTGCAGTGTTACAGTAATTCACAGCCCAGTTAGTGATGCAGTTGTATACCAAAAGCAGTTTGAATAACCATAAATGTTTATGTAACTGTACTCAATGAATATGAAGGTCTTGTACTGTATAATGGTGATGAGTTTTGCCATTTTAGTAATTTAACTATATTCAGTTTTCAGATTATGAACTCCAGGTTGCACTAAATTTGTCCTTGTTTTAGCAGTGGCTTAAAATAAAACACATTTCACTGGCTTTGAGAGTGCTGTCATTTCTTGTAAATTCATGGAATATTATTTTTCTTTTCAGCTAACACAGCTAAGATTGGTCTTGGTCAGTGGTTGCGTGAAGGCGCTTGAAGAATGGTGTAGTAAATAGTGCATCAGTAGATGGCATACTTCTTACAGAATTAAATTGGTGTCCAGGAAGAATGCGAGAACGCTGTTTTACCGTCTTTGGGTTGAAAGGTAAACCTGTAGTTCCAGTTACATGAAGTAAAGCGTTGCATGGATTCTGTGTGAGGAGAGACTGGGCAAGAAATCCAGTCTAATATCTCAACACAAGTAGGATGCAATAACCAGTCTACCTCAGTCTCATCTTACCTGGAAGCTAGGTTAGGGAGGTTGGCTTGATACTTCTCTGTGGACTAAGGTTGGTCTTTGGCACATTGTACAGTATTTGGGGAATTGGTGTAAAAGCCAGCTTTAGAGTTTTCCAGACGAATGCAAGAATACACTGCTAATGAAAGTGTTGTATGAAACATGAAGTTTCATACGGCCTATTAAAAATCCTCAGGTGTTCTGGTATCTTGTGAAATCTACCAAACAGCATATTGTCAAGTACCCCAAAATAGCAATGCTGAGCAGAGATGTTGTGCATAGATACGGTTTCTAAGATTTAAAAGTACTGTCATTGCAAATAGCTGTCTTAATGTTTTTTGATGTATTCGTTGTGAATATA